CCCACAGGCACGCACTGCACGGGGTGAGGAGATGACTCCAGGAGACGCTGTCTCATCTCATCAGCTGAGCTGGGCGCCTTGGCCAGGAAAGGAAAGGGAAGACAGGAGGAGGGGGGACTGGGGAAGACAGCGCGTGCCCTGACATAGCAGGCTGGCTTCAGGGAGAACGAAGCAGGGCTCCGAGTACTGTTTGTCCCGCTCCGTTGCGAAAACATTGACTGTCTTCTCTCTTTGATCTGCTCTTGAGACTGGCTGGGGCGAGGGGCAGCAGGTGGTCCAGAGAGACCCCAGCCCCCTTGACCTCCACAGCCTAGCTCCTGCCCAACTGCACAAAGAGCTCCGCCTGGCTTCGAAGAGCCCCAGGCAGAGAGGAAGGAGTCTGTGGAACCATTGACTGGAAGCTGGTCTGGACTATGAGGAAGAGGAAGCCTTTACCCTGTTGCAACGGTCTTTCAGGCAAAGTGCCCTTTCAGACTTCCTTGTGAAAAGACAAGAATGGTATCCAGCCCCAGTTCCACCTTGAGTGCAAGTGCTGTGCCCCACACAAAGTTAGTCAGAAAACCTTGCCCAGAAAAAAGTGTGACCAAGAGATGATGGAAAGCCAGCTCAGAGCAGGGTCCCAAGACGCAAGCTCACACTACCTTTACCATTAGCCATATATTATTTAACTTACCTGGTACTTTTACAGGAACATCTTTTTTAGAGCACTTTCCAATCCCCTCCCCTCTCTTCTCTTGCTGGGGTACACCAGGTTGTTTCTTGTAGGAATGAAGAAACTGAGCCTTATGGGTGTTAGTAGCAGAGGCCAAGTGCAAGACTGGGTGCCCCTAGGGAACATCCCCCTTGATTCTTCCGACAGCCCATGGAGGTGGGTCTCCCCACCTCACTAGACAGAAGAGGAAACGGAGCTTCCCACGCTGACTAAGAAGCAAGTCAAGATTCAAGGCCAGCCCCAGCCTCCAAAGTCATTAGCTCTTTCCATCTTTCCATTTTGCCTCCCACAGGGGCTAACGACATTTTCCTTGACAACCATGAGGTTCAAAGAAACAGGATAGGATTTTCCAGATGACTGAGTTGGCCTTTGGGTACGAAAAGGTGTGAGTAACAGCAACCATGTGGGCTGAGGAATGAGCCGGCCCTGGGCCCCTCCATCACTGCCTGGCCTGGGTAAGCCGTCTATCCTCCTTGGCCTCAGTTTCCTCATTTGGCCAGGTAGGTGGCTGGAATAAAGATGGCTGAGGTCTCTTCCAACCCTGGCATGCTTTGAATTTGAGGATATTCCTGGAAACTTTTGTGGCTAGCTTCTCTCATTGAAAATTTCTGGCTCAATGGAAATGAATCTAGTACTCACCTCTGTCTCTATTCTCAGTCTCACTGATATAGGGGAGCATTTAAAACTGAGTAATGTGATGAATAGGGGCTGGGGAATGGAGAGCAAGTGTTTACCTTTTTGGGGTAATAAAAATGTCTTGAAACAAAACAGAGGTGGTGGTTGGACAACATTGTGATTCTGTTAAATGTCACTGAATTATACTATTTAAAGTGGTTAATTTTATGGGATGTGAATTTCACCTAGATTTTAGAATTTGAATAATGTCACTCTCTTATAATCCTTCCATGAGTCCACATTTCTTTAGAATTATGACCAAAATCATTCGCCTAAAAGAATTTCAAGTATTGGTCCTGTCTCTCTCTATTCTACCTGGTCACAAGCTCCAGAGGCATAGACACGCAGGCAGCTCCAGAAAGTAGATCCTTCCTCTTGGTGTTCCTACCTCTGCCCAGGATCCCCTCTCTGCAAAACCCAGCTGTCTTCTACACATTTTTCAAAACCCAAAGCATAAAAGCACCAAAGGAAAGTAGCCATATGTGGCTACTAAGCCCTTGAAATGTGGCTAGTGTGACCAAGAACTTGAATTTCAATTTAATTTTCATTGTTTTTAATTTAAATAGCCAGATGCGGTGGTTGGTGTATTGAAAGTATCACTCTAGACAGGTGGTTCTCAAATTTTAACCTGTATATCAGCATCATCCAAAGGGCTTGTTAAAACAGTTTGCTGAGATCCATGCTCAGTGGAAGAATTTGTATTACTAACAAGTTCTTGGGTCATATTAATGATCCTGGTTTAGGGACCATACTTTGATAGTCACTGATCTGTAGTTGAGAGTTCTAGACTCAGATCCTCCAGACTCACATGGTGTAGATGTGATGGTATAGACTGGTGGTTCTTTTAGCGCTTTCAATGATAACAAACAGCCCGCTGTGGCATGTGTGCCATAGATTCACCACCGCTGACCTAGAAGTGTCACAGAAATCCAGAATTTCCAGTGCTAACCCAGACATCTTGGGTCACAACTGCATATTGGCAGGATCTCCAGGGGACTATCAGTACATAAAAGTCTGAGAAATACTTTTTAGACAATCATTCATTTAGGTCAGGGGCTTCACTAATCTTTGTATCTCCAGCACTGAGCGTATTTGCTCGTATATAGTGGGTGCTTAACCAGTAGGAAGATTAAAAGGTTAAGCTTGATTGTGTCCAATTTGATTGGTAGAGCACCTTCTGCATATGTCTGGTGGGGATCATAGAAGAGTAACCTTGGGTACTATATCTGGTCCCTCTCCCCTTCTCCGTTGCTGCTCCCATGCTCTGCTTCCCAGCCACCATAAACTAAGCATTGTTCCATCAGTGTTTCTGCCTTGGAGCCCACTGACCATGGAATAAATCCCCTGAAACCATGAGTCAAATAAACCTCTCCTCTTTTAAGTTACAATGGGAAAACTGACTAATACAGAAAACTGTTACCAGAGAAGTGGGGTCTTTGCTGTGCTTGTCTCTGACCATGTAATTTAGAGGCCTTTGGAAGGTTTGAAGTTAGAGTTTACAGGAGTTTGGAAAGGTATGAAGATGCTGACCAGAAAAGCCTTAGAGTTCAGTGAACAGATCTTTATGGGTGACTATGGTCAGAGCTCAGAAGATCAGAATCCTGATAGAAGTGTAGCAGTCTGAATTGAGAAGAAGGATTCCACTGGAATAGGACTAGGGGCCATGTGTGTAATTCTCTGGCAGAAATTTTGATTAATTTTGCCCATGTCCTGAGATTCCATGGGAGCCTGAGATTAAGTGCAGTGGGCTAACTGATTGGGTAGATAAAATTTCAAAATAGTCCAATATTCAGGCTATGGCATGGGTACTTCTGGCTGCTTTTAGCCAGATATATGGTAAGAATCGGGGCCAAAAAGCAGAAGAGAAAAATTTGGAAAACTTAAATGTTGGCCCAAAAGGAACCACTTGAAAAGTTCAGGTCAGTGATTGCTGAAGAGATTAGCCCCATTAAAAAAACCAAGTACTCTGTACAGGAACAAGAAGAAAGATGCCTTGAGAACATCTGAGAAATCAGCAATTCTCCACCTATCACAGGCTCAAGGGTACAAAAGTATACATCTTTCTCTGAGAAGAGTTCTTGGGACTCCTGTTCAAAAAGTACCTCCTAGGGAACTTGTTCCCCAGGATTAATTTCACCATGCTCAGCAATCAAAGCACTCAGAGGCCACTGCAGCCATGGTCCCACAAGGACTTGCTACTTACTGTTCCTGCTGTGAGCAGACTTTGGCATCATTTATGTGATGCTAGTTTTACTGGCATAAAGAATGCAAAAGCTGGGCTGGGGATTTAGCTCAGTGGTTTCACTGCCTGCTACGAAAGCGCAAGGACCCAAGTTCGATCCCCGGTACCAAAAAAAAAGGCATGTGTGTAAGAATGCAAAAGCTGTGGGATCTGGGAGACTTCCACATAGATTTCAAAGGAGGGCCTGGGAGGCCAGGCAAGGAGCCTTAAGAGGGCAGTGCATGAAACTGTGGTAATGAAGTCATGGGTATGTAGAGCACCCACCTATTTGGAAATTCCAGGAATGTGGAATGACTGCTGAAGAAATCTATAGGCTGTCAATGGAGCCAACCCGAGAGAGAGGTTATGTAAGCCACCCAAGCCCCTCTGGTACTCACATCTCACTACCATGTGCTTCAAATTACAGACATGGAGCTACAACACTTAATATCTACCCTGCTGGGCTTTGGTCTCACTTTGGTTCAATTCTTTTCTACCTCTTATTCCTCCCTTTTGGAATGGGAATGTTTACCCTGTGCCACTGTACCTTGGGATTATGTAACTTGTTTTTTCCTTTGAGGGAGTCATAGCTAAGAGTTTGTCTTGAGTCTCAGAAGAGACTTTGACTTGGATGTTTGAAAATGGCTGAAGCTGTTTCAACTTTGGATTATTGTGTTTTCAAGATAGTTGTATCATGTTAGGTGGAATTAAGACCTTGTGTTTATCTGGGGATTTAAGTATCATTTAAAGAGATGTGTTTGGGTGTCAAGTTGAAAAGGGGTGGGATGTGACACTTAAGCTTGATTGTGTCAGCTTGATTGGCTTGAGAGATACTGGAGGGATTGGTGGAGCACAGGCTGGGTGTGTCTGGGTGGGTCATGGAGGAGTGACCTTGGGTTCACTGGCCCTTCATACTTTCCTCTCTGGTGCTGCTCTCCTGCTTTGCTTCCTGGCTGCCATGAGCTAAGCAGCCTTGCTTCACCACATCGTTCCACCTTGATATTCCTGCCTGAAAGTGTTCAGGCCACATACTAAATCCCCTGAAACCATGGGTCAAATTAAACCTCTCCTCCTTTAAGCTGGGGGTGCTGAGTATTGTGTCCCTGTAATGGGGGAATCTGACTAGTACAGAAGAACAAGAAACAATAGGGACTCAACAAATGCTCATAAGAGGAAAGAAGGGAATGAGAGGTAGAGGTTGCCAAGGTAGTACGTGTATTTCTTACTACATAAAATTTTCCCTTTGAAGAATGGGGCCCCAGTCCACATCCTAGAACCAAAGCCAAAACTGCCTCATAAAGGGGAAAGAGACAAAGAAGCTGGTCCTCTGATAAGAGATCAGCAGGTCACCTTCCTAGGGAATCAAGAGTTTCCCATGAAGAAGCCACTTACAGATCTTTGTCACCATCTCCTTAGTCCTGGTACCTCTAGACTGTTGCCCTGGAGGATTCTGACTCCACAGTCTTCTGGGCTTTGTAATCGAGCACTGAAGATGGTAGGCTGGCCCAACAGTGTCCCAGGCAGAGAAAGGAGGAATCATAACCAGCTCACACAACAAACCACTCTCAGCTACATTGTATTCTTCCCAGCTGTGCCTCCTTGCAAGCATCAGATGACTCTCCATCCACCTCCATCCTTCCACATCTTCTCCTGACCCAGCTCTCTCTAGGCATCAGAAATAAATGCTGATCATAAATTGGACATAGCATTCTTGAACTTGAAGGAACAACAGGGATCGATACAGATAGAGAAACAAATACCAGTACCCCAAGAAATACAGTGGTCCAGTGTCCCACGGGTAAGAGAAAGGCTCCTGACCCCTGACTTAAATTTCCAGACACAAGACATGGCCACAGTCTGACAGCCACGCACTTGTAAAGTTCTCAAGGAATCTGATCCAAGGGATATCAGATTGAAGTTGAAAAGAAAAAATGATCAGCTTTTCCTCCTGAGGCACAAAAGCTCCTGTTTCTTGGTAATTGTGAATACCCTGCCAGACTAATAGTGAAAGGCAGGGTCTCTTCCCACCTGGGTACAGCTGGGGGCCATCCCTCAACAGCAAGCTGGGTGGCAGAGGAAATCTAGCCCCAGATTTAAAATTTTAAATTTAAAGCAGACATGCTTTGGTGAGGGCAATCATGTCAGGTCTGTCTCTGAATACTTTAGACAAAAGCACCTTCCAAAATTTTTCTTTTCTTTTCTTTAGTTTTTCAGCACTAGGATCAAATCCAGGGTATCACACATGCTAACCAAGAACTCTACCACTGAGCCACACCCCAAGTCCCTCTTTCAATTTTTATGAAACAATACCTATTGTATGGGGAAAAAAATCACACTTAAACCCTCCATGTCTCACCCAGAAGTAATTACTAATTACTAATCTTCTGTACATTTTGCTGCCTCAGTCAAGATTTTTCTGAGAATTACATAAGCTTACTTTTATGCCATAAAATTATACCTCACATACTATTTTGTAACTTGCTTCATTCATGGAAAAGTATTTAACATAAATGTTTCCAAGTTAGTAAATGTACAGCATTTGTTGATTCTTTGGTATTCCTTGAAATAGATGTACTATAATTTCTTTTAGCACTCTCCTCCTTCTGGATACTTGGCCCAGCTATTTTTTTAAAAACAAAAGTCTAGTGCCATGAACATTCATCTCACAGTGCACTTGGCTCATTATTTCTTCATCATAAGACAAATCCTGATAGGAGGAGTGGGCTCATCAAAAGGTATGCGTATTTTTCAGGCCTGTGGGCCATATGCCATATTGTCCCCAGCATGGCTGCTTTCCTAAAAAGTGAAGCTCTTCTGGGGAACTCCCCCAGAGCAGGTGGGAGCTGCCTGGGGGCTAAAGGTTTAAACAGAGCCCGAGGCAGTCGGGGAAGGGTGTGATCTAGTGGGGAGAAAAGGATAAAAGAGATGGTCCGCTTTATCTCCCTCCCAACTTGTTTCTTCTTCCCCGAGATCCGGTGGCTGGTGGGCCACTGTGTACCTGTTTCAAATGATGCCCTGAAGGCTAGGCTGTGCCTTAGCCCTCCTGGAGGAAAATCCCTTGACCCAGCCGGGGCCCAGGTCCTGAGAGTGGAGTTGTCAGCCCCAGATGAGCCCTCTACCTTGACGGGTCTGCCACAATCCAGTGAAAGGGCCCACGCTGCCTGCCAGCTCGCACTTCTGAGCCCATGGGCCATTGTCTCCTAGAAATCAGAGAAAACAACATGTAATTGTCACTGGGCTGGGGAACTCTTTCACCAACTAACCCTCTCTGGCCCCCTATCTCTGTGCACAGAGGGGATTGTATTGAAGAAATATTTATAAAAAGAAAAATAGGCCCCGGCTGTGAAGTTCCCTTGACATGAGCCTGAGTCTATTAGGCCCTCAGAGGAGGGCTTTCCCTGCTCCAATTGGCCTCATCCTGAGCCTCTCCTCTTGCATTCCTTTACCTTGTTTATATGGCTTTAGCAATCCCATTATTATTGCCAGCAGCATCAGCCTAGTAACTGTACACTGAGCATCTATTATCCACCTTGTACATCTCATAATCTTCCAATATGTATGGAGTAGATTCTACTAGTAGCTCAACTTTTTAAGGATTAGAGGATTAACGTAATTCTCCCAATAGTACAGTATGGATTCAAATCCAGGCCTCAACTTGATTCAAAATCAGTGCTTTAAATCACTGCCCTAGTTCCAGACAGAGACCTGAGACACACAGTGCATGTGTGGCCTTTTAAAGGGGTCACTTGTTCAAATACTGGGGCCATTCAGCCAAAAGACATGACCTAGTGACCAGTGGCAATGGATGTCCTTGGGACCAGGGAGGAAGGCTAAAGAGAAAATCCTAGAATTGAACAAAAAAACACACAAATTCACAATGTCAAAGTAATTTACTAGTGACTAAAAGCAATGTCCACAGAGCCTGAATCATATGCATGGGGCCAGCTAGGTGCATGCTCTGTCAGGACAAACCATCCCAGGGACTCAGCCTTGGAGTGCCAAATAGACACAAGCTCAGCATTCAAGCCTAAGTTCAAAGCTAGCCCCCATTCCATACAGAAGGTCACTTGGTCAGGCCGTGCTCTTCATGAGGCATGTATAGGGTTATCCATTAGTTGAGCTAGTAAATGTGGCTTTTACATAAATGTGGTTTTTACTACTTTACCTGTAAACCAGAAGAATGTGTGTTCTTTTGCTGTGCTGTCAACTTTGTCCTTGATCTGACCCACCAGATTGTCCATCTCCCGAAGGCCTGCTTGGTATGGCCTTTGGCCTCGTGGGTTTGGCAATGGCTGGGTCGCAGATATGGGCACGTGCATATGGGCCAAGGCCACATAGAGAAGGAAGGGTCTTCTGCTGGCACTGAAACAAGTGAGAGAGCCAAGCAGTCACTCTGCAGGAGGCTGACCCAGCTTGTCCAGTGCCCCTGGGCTGCTCCACGACTTCAGGGAAATTCCCAAGGGGTCTGCCAGGGGCTCACAAAGGATACGTTTATCTACAACCTTCCGAGGAAATGTGAAAATCATCTGGTCAGCTAGTTAAAAATGGGAATATGGTAATAATAGTTACCGTCCTTTATCATTTACTGAGAGAGTATTACAGGGGACTCATGTTGTCTAAACTCATCCAAGTCCCCTTTTTCCGACAACGAATCAGCAGCTTAAGGGAATTAAAGGACTTCTTCCATGTTATACAACTAGTAAGTGATGGAGTCTGGACCTAAACTCAGATCTGGCGAGAGCAAAGCCCTTGCTCTTGGCTGCTGCACTGGAGTCCAGGCATCCAGACTGTGGTGTCTGTTCCTGGAGAGAGTGTCTGTTCTGCTGACCACAGGAAATCCCAAGGACGCACATGACCACTGGGGGAAATTGAGATCAAGGCTCTGCCAGAGCCCCAGGCATCTGGCCACCTCTATACTAATCCTGATTCCATGGAAAAATGCAAAATAAAAAGCTTGGAGGGAGCTGGGGTGGCCTCCAAGAAAATGTCCCGTGGCCTCTGGTAGCACTCGGAAAGCTCTCTGTCCCCTACCCCACTGCCAGGTGACAGCACCTGGGGGAAGCTTGGCAGCTGCCCGTTCCCTCCAGCCACACCCGTGGGAGAGGATCTTTTAGAGGACTCAGAGTGAGGTGGCTTGTGAGCTCAGCCACGTACACATGCAGGGTGGCCACAGAAGCAGGCCCTTGACACCGGCTCACCGGAGATTCCACTTTCTCCACCACTCACCCTGGTTCACCACCCTGCAGCCTCAGCTCTGCAGCAAGCCATGCCAGGGAGCCCCTGATCCTGCTTCTGGGCCCACTGATTGGGATCGTGCTTGTCTTCAGTCCTCTTTGACAGGTATAAAACCCAGGACACGAAAATAAAGAGCAAAACAGAGGATAGGCATTGGGAAGTAGGAAGAACATGTGCAAATGGAAAAGGGAACAAGGGGTGATTTTACAAAGGAGAATGGAAGGGAAAAATTGGAAACAAAGCTTTATAAATGGGGAGGGGAAGAAGGGCTAAAGGAAGGGGAATGGGGAAAAAAAGAATTAAGACATTATGAACAAGTACAAATACATATGATGAATGTGATCATTACGTATGACAAGTATGTACTAGTAAAAACAACAACAACAAAAAACAAGGTAACCAGTCCCAAGACAGGGTCCTTGGCCTTCGTGATATTAACCCAGTTTCCACACCACACTTCTAGAGCTGTGTTGTCCAAGGCAGTAACCACAGGGTCATGGAGCTATTTGGGTTAAATTGACAAAAATTAAGTACAGTTAAAAATTCACATCTGTGCTTCACATGCTAGAGCACAGATAAACTTTGAGGACATTAGGCTAAATCCAGTCACCAAATGACAAATAACATGACTCTACTTGTATGAGGTCCCCAGAGTCACTAAATTCAGAGATAGAAAGTAGAAGAGTGGGTCCATAGTACTCCAGCCCAAAGACTATGGCAGCATTCATTCTCCTTGCTTGGCTTGGCAAATCCCAGGATGTTTTATGTCATGGCTGTGTAACCCTCATCTGTAAAATGGGACAATCTTACCTCAAAGTTGAGAGTAGTAAGCGTTTGATAAATGATACCTTTAATAAATGGTACCTTTTTATTAATAATTAGGAATAATACTTGCTAGCAGTAATAAAGATGAATGGTACGCAAAGATGTACCCTTTCCCTGCATCCGGATGCCAGGCCAGGATTTATAAAGATGACATCATGCACAGACCTGTACCCTGGGGGCATCTGTGCCCCAAGGCGTGTCTTCTTTTTGGGTGCTTGTCCCGCATGCAAAACAGAGTTAGGGAGACCTGGTGTTTTGGGGCTGAAAAAACTGCTGATCATAAGACAGTGCACATCCACTTATATGTTTTAAAAAATATGCCTACTTGGGCCAGGGATTTAGCTCAGTGGTTCCGACGCCTGCCCTGCAAGCCAAGGACCTGAGTTCGATCCCTGGTACCAAAAAAATGGAAATAAAAATATGCCTACTTCAATTATACCTTAAGAAAGCTACGTAAAATATGTTCATGCACCAGCAGAGAATGAGGCTACAGGGATACATTCAGATCTACTAAGACAAATTATCTTTTGGGTGTGGAATTCAGGGTGATGGGGTTTTTTGTAGTTATTATTGTTTGCTCACCTGTTTTTGGAAATTTCTAAAGGGAACACATGATTTGTGTGCCAAAACCACAGTGGTGAGCAGGAGAAAACAATAAGTAAGATGCTAGAGGGTCATCCTGGCAGAGAGTAGATGAGGCGAGGCAAAGATGTGTGCTGAAGTTCAAGCCCGGAAAAACATCTGGGGCCAGGGATTTAGCTGAGGGGTTTCGGCGCCTGCTGTGTAAGCGCAAGGGCCCGAGTTCGGTCCCCAGTACCAAAAACAAAACAAACAAACAAAAAAAATCTGGTCAGAAATGCAGGCCAGGGGCACCCTGCTTTCAAGAAGGGTCCCCCACAGGTGCCTGGCCAGAGAGGCAGGACTCTTAGAGTGGCCCCCTGGGGTCTCCAGAATTGATGTTGAAATAGTCACTTGGGCCTCCACTTTCCCCTCTCTCCCTTTGGACCTCGGCAACGTGACTCACTTCTAGAATCCTCTGCAGCCCCAGGGTCGGCCCAAACACCTCAGCCTGCATCCATGGCCTTCCCCACTGGGGTCTCCCCCAGTCTGGCCTTCCTGCTCCTCCACGACTCTCCCTCTCTATTAGGGCTAGGCCCCTCACCCCTTTTTGCCTTCCTGCACCTGGGCACACTGCTCCTCTGCACGGCAGCATCTGCCATGAACACCTGATCAAATCTTGCACTCAGCTCAAAAGCCACCAACACTGCTTTAAAACCCCACATCAGGATTTGCTTTTAGAATCATTGCTACATTAAAGGTGAAAACTCAAGCAAAGGCCCATATAAAAACTTCAGGAAGTCCGGGGGAGGTGGGGCTTTCTTGTCAAGGAAGAGCAGGAAGACAGGCTCCAGGAAAGCCTGGGAGTTTTGGCAAACAGGCCTAAGTGGAAGGAGGAGCTTAAGGTTGCAGCGGGGCCCAGAGGAGGAAGGAGCACAGGCCTCTTCTGCTGAAGCTCAGAAAGTCGCCAGTGAATTGTCACCCATTCCGGAAGGGATCTGCTTGCCTGAATACTATGCTCTGTCAAGTGAAAAGCCAACAGCATCCGTGACTTTTACTTAACTAATAAAGTTATCTCTTTGCCTGTTTCATTTGCTAAGTAGAATGCTTATTGATTTGTCTGATTCACTTACAGGTGGATGTCCACAGCTCCCCTGCAGAGCAGGCGTGACACGGTCCCTAGTCCCCACTCAGCCACCATCCCTCCCCTCAGAAGCCTGCATTGTCTAAGGCACTGAGAAAGCAGGAGGGGACTCTCCCCATCAGCCGTGACGCATACGCCTGCCATGGGACATGAAGGCCTGAAGCTGCCTCAGAGCTCGGAGCTGGGAGATTTTCAGCCCAGTAGATGGGAGAAGAAGCTTTGCTCTTTTCATATCCACAATCTGAGAAAAATGAACCAACAATGCTTCTCAAAAAAGGTGCTAAGGAACCATTCAGGTGCAACCTCGCAAAGCACTTGGGGCTGCCCCTGAGATTAAGAATTTAAGCAGTGGGTTTTATTATCAAGAGCACATGCTCACCAGATTTCCCACATCGCTACCTCTCTTCCTTGCTGGACTCTCTACAAAAATACAACTTGGTTAAGCAAGGAGGGAGGGATTGTTGCCCATCCAAGGAGCTGGTCAGATCACTGATCCACAGGTGGAGTCCGTTCTGAATTCTGCACATGTACACAGGCGTGCAGCACAGTTGTACTTCCGCATGTTGGCCAGGGCTGTGGACCTAACAAAGCCATTCCACTGCCCTTGGGGAGCTCACCATCTGGGGAGAAGGATCAGATGAGTGCACGCTGGGTCTCTCTCTGCTCTGACCTGACAGAGGTTAGGAAGCAGTAGCTCTCACACTCCAGGACTGGCTAGAGACACATGCTGATGTGGATTTGGGGGCTTTGGGCTGTTATTTTTAATTAGTAGTTTCTTAACATTTAAAGATCAGGCAATCTCACATAAGAGCCAGGTATCCAGCCTCTCTCGGAATATGAAAATATCTGACATTCCAGGCTCACACTCCCAACAAGAAGAAACAAGTAGCTGGGGCCAGGTAGCAGCTGCCTTGATGCGGGGTGTGGCGCTCACAAGGCAACCGAAGGGCCCAGCACTCCTTACCACCTCACACTCAGCCTGCTTCTCTCTACGATCACCTACTCGGCCCTGTACATGCTGGGATTGGTAACCTGTGTGTGGTAAAGGGGGTGGTGCGGTAGAGGTGGCAGACTGAATAACAACCCTCAAAAAAACCTAATTCCTGGAATCTGGGCATCTTTGTTTATATGACAAATGAAACTGTACAAGTGTAATTACGTTAAGGGTGCTGTGATAGGGAGATTATCTTGAATTACCCTGATTAACCCTAAATACAATCACAGGTGTCCTTAAAAGAAAGACACAAAGGGAAAACAAGCACCACGGTGCACATCAATAATCCCAACTGTTCGGGAGGCTGAGGCAGGACCATTGCCAGTCTGAGGCCAGCAGCCTAGGAAAAAGAGGAGGAGGAGGAGAAGGAAGAACACAACAAAGACAATGACAACTGATGAGGATTCCACTACAGATATGGAAATAGCAAGGGAACACGAAAAGCAGAAGTTAGACTGGTGTGGCCATAATCCAAAGAATCCCGATAGCCACCAGAAGCTAGAAAAGGCAAGGAACAATTCTGCATTGGAGACTCCCAAAAGAAAGAAAGGGAAAAAAACCTGACATTATGATTTTAGCCTCCTAAAGCTCATTTTGGACATCTTCCCTCCAGATCTGTAGGAGAATGAATTTCTGTTGTTTTAGCCACTAAATCGGTGATTATTTGTTATAGCAGCAATAGGAAACTAATACACCCTGTCAGCTAGCAAATTCAACAAGTGCCTTGAGTGCTCCAATACAGTAGGAAGGCCCTGCCCTCAAAGAGCTCAGGCTCTAGTAGGAGAAGACAAAATGATGCTGACTGTGGGGTACTTTCAAAGCAGGACATGGTAAGTCCCTGGGGACATGAGGCACGTACCTACGGAACTTCTAACCAAGGAATAGAGACAGGGGGCAGAGGGAGCTGATTTCCAGCTTTATTGACAGGAGATATGCATGCATCCTTCTTTGTTGAGCAACCAAACTGCCATGATCTTGAGGGCACCAAGGCTAGTATGGGCAGAGGGTGGGAAGCGGCAGGGCCACCTCACCTTGCCTGCTGTATGAACTGCACTGCCTTCTCAGCATACTTCCCTGCAAGGCTGCTCAGGTTCACAGGCTGCTCCACGATGCAGAGGTTTTCATAGAGAGGAAGGGCCACATCCATGTAACAGTCCCTCTTGTGTTTCCTGTATAAAAACCACAGAGAGTGGCACATTCATTTCCAGCACCTATACAATCATGGAGTAGAACAAAAGGCTTTAATGCAGCAAGGCCTGTAAATGTGAAACCCTTAACAGCCTGGCTTCAAAGGATTTTGCCACTCAGTCATGTCTTCCCTATAAGACCAATAGAGGATGCTTTCCCCTTTGAATAGATGTTTATTACCCAGCCCCCTGGAAAGCTCACTGAGACTCTTACGAGCTAGGGACATTATTACCACTCCCACTCTCCAGGGAGATACACTGAGGTAGGAAGCGGCTGGCCTATTTCCAGTATAGTCTCAGGGCCAATCAGCAGTCCCTTCCCTGGTTTTCTTTACCGTCTACCTAGTCGACAGCCTCCAGCTAAGGGTGGCAAGACTTGTCCTTTCGCAAGTCCACAATCAGGACTGCACGTGATACAAAATCTGACAATAGGATGAAATATATAAGTGGTCTAGGAAATTTTTAACTTTGAACCGTGGGCAGAGATTTTGGAGATTAAGGGAAAAAATGGAAGTTGAGCCAAAACAACTTGCAAAAACAAACTCAGGTGTTAAGATTGACGGAATCTGACACATGGCTGTCCCATCAATGGGGCCGAGTAACTGCTCATGATCTTGCAGAAGTTACATAAACTCTCAGAGCCTGAGTTTCCCTTCTGTAGCCTGGGGTTGCCCGCACCCCCTTACCAAGGTATCAGAAGGACAAAAGAAGCTAACAAATGGTTAGTGCTTTGCACACTGCTCAGCACACTAGCAGTTTAGTAAATACTCAAGCTCCCTATGCTGGTCACCACAGAGGACAAGGTGACAACATGAGAATGTTAAAGAGAGGCGGCAGGTCGTGGGAAGCCTTTCAGGCAGGCAGTATTACATAGGTGTGACTGAAATACATGGTGAACTTTTAAATTGAAAATATTTATTATAGTAAATACATATTGCCATTTAACTCCCCCTCAGAATACTCACCCTCACTTCAAACATACTTATCCCAGCATTCTTGCCACTTTCTGAACCACTTCTCCAAGTCCTCTCTCATGTCTTCATGAGGTGTGATTAAAAAAAAAGTACAGTGAATGTTCCTTCAGGGTGCCATCAACAGAAAGGTGGGCTCGTGGGCACATGACAGTTGTCCTCATCCACCTTATTCACTGCATCTGGCATCATGCAACTACTGGCTTTTCTCCAAAGTCAAAATGACCATGAAAGGTAAACATTTTGAATCGATTCAGCACATTGAGGCAGCCACAAAAGCACAACTAAAGACACAAAAGAGAACTTTCCAGAACCTCTTCAGAAAGTGGCAAGAACGAAAAGTGTGTTCAAAGTGAAGGGGAAACATTTTGAGGGGATTAGTGGTAATGTGTCTTTTACTGTAATAATTTTTTAAGTATCCACCATATTTGTTGATCCTATCTCATGTATGTCCTAATAAGACAGTTAGGATAAAATGCCCTCCGGGACACTGAAAGGATTGTGAAGAATTTGAAATTCCCTGTTACACCTACAGGTGCACACATCCCATTATAGATGCTCATGAGATAAGGTCAGAGTGGGTAAATAATTGGCAAGGACAACATTTTTTAAAAAGAAACAAAAAATGTTATCACCATGCTGGGCATCATGATGCTGAATCCAGATTTGTGTTGAATTTTCAGCTTTTTATTATCTCATTGCAACACCACCATCATTTACAGTCTCTCTGTCTCTCACAGGGATCCTCCTGCCTCAGCCTCCTCAGTGTTGGTATTACAGACATGCACCACCATGCCTGGCTTTTACTTGATTTGATTTTTTTTTTTTTTTTTTCCGTACCAGGGATCCAACTCGGGTCCTTGTGCTTTCGAGGTTTTGAGGCAGGAGGCGGAACCACTGAGTTAAATCCCCAGCTTACTTGATTTGATTTTAACATAGATAAAAGAGACTAGCTTTTCAATCCCTAGCACCAAAAAATGGCAGGTATGATTACAGTTGGTCAGGAGGGCAGCAAGATCACAGGCAGCCTTGCTTCTCACACTAATGTGCCCACACATCAGCTGGGCAGCTTGTTAAAATGCAGGTCTAGGGCAGGACCTGAATTTCTGCATTTCTAATGACACTTCAGTGATATCCATGACACTGGCCCAATGGCCACACTTTTGAGAAACAAGTGTGGAGGAGACTGGAATCTGAATTCCTATCTCTTACCAGCTCTGGTGCAACCCAGGCATGGTAAACTTTCTTACTTGTAAAATCAGGTACATACCTGCTTCACACTGTGGTCAGTCATGTGGGTTACAGATAAGTGCAGAGAGTGCTTAGAATGTAACAATTTCTTCATAAACTGCCATTATTGTGTTAGCTACTGAGTTGTTATAGAGCCACCTCGGACTCACATTTCCCCACGCAGCCCACATACCTGTGGCCTTAGAAATAAGCGCAAGATCTGTGCTGGTTTATTAGCTACATAAACCTTATTGCCTTTTTTTGATCATAATTCCATTGCAAGCTCTTTGCAGAACATTCAGGAAATACAGTAAGAAGAAAATGAAAGCCCCTTAGTGCCAGACCCGGAGTGAAGCTTTGTTAGCCTTCCGGTGCACGTTTGTCTGGAGTCTCTCTTGGTAACGCTTTGAAGATACAGACACAGTGTGAAAGAGCCCACTGATGATCTGCTCCCTGCTATTTCACTTACTGTTAAGTGAGCATTTTCTCATTTCATTGAATATGTTTTAAAAACATCCTATTTAGTTCCTGCAAGGCATTCCAATGTCAGAATGCTGTCTTTCTTATGGGGAGGGGATCCCAAAAGGAACGCTGTTATGTTCCTCTTTCTCTTTCTCTTTCCCTCCCTCCTGTGTCCAGGATCTGGGCCAGGTGAGGGATCTAAGAGCAAAGCCAGGAGTCAGAGGAGGAGGGAGGCCCCACCTGTGTGGGCACTTGGCAGCCTGAGGCCTCCCCCTGGCTGAGCTGAACAATTTGAGGACCCCAGAAAATTCCAACAGAAAAAATGTTCAGCTCTCAACCTTGCATCAGAGTGCAAATAACACATTTACAGCTGTACTGGATGACACTGTCTCATTCACTGTCTTAACTGTCCCCTATTTGCATCTTCCACTTCCTCCAGATAAACCACAGCCCTAGCACTACACCTGTCCTGGAGCCCATGGCCAATGCCTTGGATAGGTTTACCTCAGTGGGCCACCCCCTGGTGGACACGCTGGGCAGGGAGGGTGGTTGTAGCCCGGGGTGTCAGTACAGCCCATGTCATGGCTGTATGGGATTCCAAAGTAGTAATCAAAACCTAGAAAAGAAGCAACTGGTTAATAACCCACTTGGCTGCTGCTCTGTGTGCCTGCCTTCTTCCACCTAAGTCAAAAATTTAATTTCTCATGATTTAATATTGCAGTTTTCTGGAGTATGTAATTAAAAGAGGATTTGATTAATATCCTTCTGAAGTATGCAAAGAAAATCACGTTTCTGGGATCTGGCTGAAACACTAGATTTGAACAACATCTTGTGATTAGAAGTAGCCCAGCCTGGGAGGAAATGGAGAGAATTATTGAACATCTAACATGTTCAGTAAGTATTGGCGAACATCTACTACATGCATGACACTTTAGGGAATAAAAATAAATAGATCCTGCCCTCAAAAGACTCCATCCGAAGGGGAAATAAGATATATTTGTTTTGTTTTGGTACCAGGGACTGAACTCAGGACCTTGCACTTGCTAGGCAGGCAGCAGAACCACTGAGCTAAATTCCCAGCCCTGGAAATAAGATATATTGGTTAACCCATAAGAGACAGGTGAGGCGTGTCAGAGGAAGATGCTACTCCCAGATGCAAGGACTGGGGTGGGGTCGGACAGGAATTTCCAAATGCTTCTTGAAGGATGGGCATTTCGGCTGGGACCTGGAAGGCAAGTGGGATTTGAGCTTGAAGTGGTGGAGTGGAGGGGAGAGGAGCCTGACGTGAGGGCTGAGATCTGAACACCTTGGATTTCTGACATCCTCCCTCACCGGTCACTTCTCCACCACAAGCTTTTATCCAAAGGACATAGTCACAGAGGCAACCAGAATTCATTCACAACTTCTGCAGAAAGAGGAGCTTCCTCAGTCATCCAGAAGAGAACTTCAGCTCTCATTTCCCTAGAGGTGGACAGAACTTGAATCTCCCACAGAATGTCATTTACCCACAGCCCCCAAAGCCAGGCCCTGCAGACAAGGTCAGCTGCCTCTCCAGCCTCACCTCCCGCCCCTCAGTGCCTCTCTCCTGCTCTGAGCACATTTCCCTCAGGAACACAGTGAGCTCTGGTTTCCGCGTGCCTCCCACCTCTGGGAGGCTGGAGGAGCTGTATCAGTACTGCCCAGCCCGTTCCGTGTGAAGTTTCCTACAAAATCCCCTCTCCTCACCACAACCTGCTCTCTTCACCCCCATTCCTTTCATATTCCTGGCACACCCTGGGGACTTCCTATCAGCGTGGTGCTGCAGGTCTTCTCCAGTAATATCCACTCTTTGAGCTGCGGTACTAGATGCTTATTAACCCAACAGTGTAGTAAAGTCACCAGTACTGGGAAGAACCCAGATTGTACAAATAGATTTGGATACTCCATAGGTAATGACATGGCCCTGAGCTGTTACTGCATTTGGTGTCAAGATGAATCTAGACCAGAGCCAGATAGTAAATATTTCAGGCTTTATGGCCCGGATAGTCTCTACTGAGCTTCTCAACTCTGCTGTTGTAGCACAAATCACCTAGAGAAAATGTGTACATCCATGAGCATGGCTGTTTTCTAATAAAACTTTATTTACAAAAACAGGTGGCTCGCAGGGCATGGTGGTGCACGGCTATAAACCCAGTATTCTAGAAGGCTGAGGTAGGAGGATTGCAAGTTCAAGCCCAGGCTGGGAAACTTAATGACTTAGCAAGACTCTGCCTCAAACATTAACAGCATCAGAAGAGGTCTGGGAACACAGCTCAGTGTGAAGGCCTTGGGTTCTATCTCCAGTGCTGGGGATGGAAGAAACAGGACACTGCTCGTGGACAGGGTGCCAAAGGCAATGGGAGCAAGAGGTAGGAACCAAGAACGTCCAAGCCACAAGGCTTTGTGGGACTGTCTGGTTCAGGAAGAGCACATATGTTGGAGGTGCTGTCTCTTGCCACTTCCACTCCCATGGCAGACATCACCAATCTATCAGGGCACCACTTCCTGCTGAGTGGTCCCCAGGTTCAGCACCCTTCCTCAGTAAAGGACTCCAGGAATAAGGCACTCAGGGTGTTAAATGTGAAAGCTAAAGGCCAAGAAGGAAAAGTAAATTCTGGAGTAAGTTTTAGTTAGTGGAGAAGTCAGGTCTTTACTTCCTCTATCTGCCATTGTTAAAAACACTTGTGGTCGAATGTGGTGATGCACGTTTGTAGCCCTAGCACTTACGAGGCTGAGGCAGGAAGATTTTGAGTTCGAGGCCAGACTGAGCTAAATAGCAAGAACCTGTCTCAAAAAATAAATAAACAGCACATGTGGAAGATCATGGAGACCTACGCCTTCTGTCACTTCTGGGGCAGGGTAACGCAGCCCTTTTCCTCAAAGATGGGGAGAGATGGGGCAGGGGAAAGGAGAAATCTGCAGAAAACCACAGTAAAGGAAAGGGCCACCTATTTCTTTATAAAATGGCAGGAGATAAAATGGATCCATTGGTAGGACCAGGGCAAGGTGAAAAGCCACGAAAGCTGAGTATAGTAAACCCCCAGGACAGGTTCCCATATGGGATGGGAAAGTTCAGGGAAGGTCAGGGGCACATCTACAGCTTCGGACACACAGGGGTTAGTATTTTGGTGAATAAGATACTCAGGGAATCTGTCAGTCAGCAAATTACCTTCGGAGAATTAGCTCTGGCAGCTGGACCTTGGCCTTCCTCCCCAGGCAGAGGGCGAGAGGTCCAAGGAAGCCCACAGCCACAGGCAGAGACCAAGGGGCAGCAGCCCCATTGGGCCCACGGCGGGAGCCCTCTTTCAGCAAAGCCATCAGAGTTGACTTCTTTCCAGCTAAGCTGTGTTGGAGCTTTGTGGGGCCAAATGTCCCTGAGGTGTAAAGATCTACGAGATGACAAAGCAGTGGAAGGGCCCATGATAGAGGGCAGCCAGGAAGCAGTCAGGGAGAGGGCACTCTGGCACCCCAAGTTGTACCCCAGTGGCCAAGTGCACAAAGGTGTGCTAGCACAGGGGAAATCTCCAGGGACAGGGTGGCTCAAATACCAATGGGGTCCCTTTACACAGAGATACTTATTTTCTGTTGCCCAGGTAACAAGGCCCCCAAAGGATTCTTACCACGGAAGTTGGGGTGATAAGAGCCATGGTGCCCGAGATGCCATTTGCCTGTGGAAAAACAAAGCAGATGGGTTGGGAGGAATCCCCGTGGGGACCCTCGGAACCTCTCGGGAGCTGATTATGTGCTCAAGTCTCCGTGGGCTTCGCCCTCCACTGAGGACAAGCAAAAGAATCAGCTAGTGCTGCAAGGAGGCTGTGCCTCGCTCTCTGGGCCCAGAGGAGTCTGCAGGGAGACAGAGCGCAAGCAAGGATGACTCAGGGCCCACACAGGAAGCCACAGAGACAGGGTAGCATAGCCTGTCCCCAGTAGCCCAGGGACACCAGCTGCCTGAGCCTCTGCCCTCAATGTGGGCTCAGAACCCACGGCACCCCACGTAGCCTGTGCATCCCCTGCAAGGTGCAGCTGGCCCAGGATGCAGATGCGCCGCACCACACAGTCTCACAAATGCCCAGCAGCCGCTTGGTTTCATCATCTTCCTCTCTGAGCAACGTCAGCAGCTGCAGAGGCCAAAGGAGGCCGGGGAGACGCTCCCTCCTTCCCCGCAGCTCCAGCGCTGAGACACCCACGGGGCTGCAAATAGAAACACATCCACCCTCGAGGCTCCTTGCTCTGTCAGTGCATTCGGTCTGGGGGAATCACTGGGCAGTGTGTGACCGAGCTCTGACAACCTCAGAACCTCTGATCAGTTCATTCTGCACTGAGGAATAGACCCCAGGGAAAGACCCCAGGGAAATCGCTCCCAAGGCAAGAGGGCAAAGAAACAAACGTGATACAAAGATCTGAACAGTGATGGCATTTGACAACACGAAGGAGAGACATTCGTGGGCAGTCCCAGGAGTATGGCTAAGGAAATCCTTTGATGTGGCCTCAATAAATAGTACCCAACTATCATTTAAAGACAAGCACTGTCGGGTGTGGTGGTGCAGGCCTGCAATCCCAGCTCAACAGGAGGCTGAGGCAGGAGAATCACAAGTTGGAGGCCAGCCTGAACAACGCAGTGAGACCCTGTCTGAAAGGGGAGTGGAGATGTAGCTCAGTGCAAAGCCCTGATTTAATCCCTGCTGCTGAAAAAAAAAAAAAAGACAATTGCAGGTAGTAAAAATATTTAAAAATCAGTGAATCTGCATAAAAGATCTGTAGACTCCATTATTCCCTTCTTGCCACTGCTTCATAAATTTCTGAAGTATTCTTTTTTTTTTAAGTTCTTTTATTGGTACATTTTAGGTATACAATTCGTTTACATTTATCATTGGGTGCTTGTACCTGCACATGATGTATCTTGCTTCTTATTTTTTTCCCCATTACCTGTGCGCCCTTCACCCCCTCCGCCCTTCCCTATTTACATAGACTTCGTTTCCATTTTTTTTTCTTTTCTCATAGTATTCAAAGTATTCTTAACAAAAAATTGAGGGAAATGGACTAAGTATTATTATGGAATGCTTAGATCAAGCATTGCATGAAAATGTAAGATTAACATTAAAACTAACAATCGTTTAAAATTATAACAATTACAATAAATATACAAAATTACATGGAAAGACAAGATAACGTGAAGGGGGGCAAATGTAGGGTCAGATAGTATGTACACAACTAGTATGTACACAAACACACAAATACTGACCAACATTAGAAGCAAAATTACTGGAAAAAAAGGAGGTGTAAATGGACTCAAAGTTCCTTTTAAATGTTCCTTATGTATGTGCTTTAGTTTATAATTTTGACAAGTGTATGTGCTTCCAGACATGCAAAGGCCCTAGTGAGGGAGGGCAGCTAAGCCGCTGTAATCAGCCCCTCACTGGGCATCTGGGGCCCGAGCAGGGGGTCGCAAGTGAGATGCTGGGAAGAACCTAACTCTAGTGGCAGGCAGCATAAGGTTCTGCAGCCAGGCAGCCTGAGACCTGACCCTTGGCTGTGAGGGTAAATGAATGCAGGTAGAGTCTAGTAAGGACAGCCTGCCCCGCGGGAGCTTCACACATGGTCTTCTTGGTGTTCGTGTTGTTAACATAATTATGCCCCAAGGTACAGGGAGAAAGGGATTGGAAAGAGAGAAGGCTGCACCTGCATTAGTCCCTCCTGCTGTCAACTTGGAGCTTGTCCTTCTGGGACAAGGAACATCTCTCTCCAGTGTGAGCGCCTCTGAAAGGATGTCAAGCTTGCTTGTTTATTTGTTTGTTTGCTTGTTTGTCCGCTTGCTTACTGGTGCCAGGGATTAAAGCCAGGGTCTGTGCACTGAGGTACATGCCCAGCCCTTTTTCATTCCTTGGAGACAAGGTCTTGCTAAGACACTAAGTTGGCCAGGCTGGGCTGAAACTTGCAATCTTCCTGCCTCTGCCTCCCAGAGTGCTGGGATTACATGTGTCCAACACCACATCTGGCAGGATGTCAGGCTCTTGAACCCAGAGGAGGAGGCTGGACCAACACCAGAGGCGCCAGCCCTTGCTCTGGGGAGAGTAACCTCTTACAGGTTAACCCAGGAGACTTGGGGAACCAGGGTCAGGCTATGGGGACCCTGGTCATCCCCTGATTGTTGGCACTCCCTCCCTTGCCATTTCGCCATGGTAGGAGGAGGCAGGAATCCCATGGAACAGGCAGTGGTGGCTGGAAACATGTCAGACCCAGCCTCCTGGGCTGGGGCCAGGCGACACTGAGCAGGTCCCTTCATGGTCCAAAACTCCACTCACACCTATACACTGAGGGAATAATGACTGCCCAGACATCCTCAGACTCTGATGGCAAATAAATACTTATCCCAGGGCCTGCCACATAATAAATGCAGAATCTGAGGTGCCTCAATGGTATTTAAAAGACAAGGCAGTCCCTGGACACTGAGCCCTATGCTGCTGCCTTGCTGCCCTGTGCCCACATCCCCACTTACACTGCCTGCAGAACCTCGGCTTTGATCCGGGAGCAGAGGATCACAGTGCCCAAGGCCAAGCCAGGTATTCTAATCCTGCCTCCATTCTCCCACCTTCCGTGCAGCCCAGTGGCCTGTGACCCAGCTTTAAGTGCAGTTCTGGGGGTGCTAGCATATGTGGGAAAAGATTTGCCTTCTTGATAAAAGAGGACAAATTCATTCTTGATTAAGTGTGACCACCTCCCCTCTCTCCTTCCAAGTTTCCGGAGTACAGGGCACTGAAGCTGCTGCCTCACAGCCATGAGGTAAGAGGCAGTGGACAATGGCCAGCACCCTAAGGATGGCAGTCAGGAGAGGAAGCATTTGGCTCCCAAAGGCACTTGTGACCAAAGGAGCTGGTGAAAGCAACCACTTACTGCATAGTTTGTTGTAATGGTAAGAAAATTTCTCCATACACTTTGACCTCCTTTTTTTGATGCTAGGGATTGAACCTGGGGTTTCCCAAGTATATATGCTAACACTGAACTACATTACATCCTCACCAACCCCTTTTTTATTTTATTTTGTGCCAGAGTCTTGCTAAGTTGTCCAGGCTGGCCTTGAACTTGAGCTCCTCCTGCCTCAGCCTTCGGAGTAGCTGGGATTACAGGTGTGCATCACCATGCCTGGCTGGTTCCATATGCACTTTAATCCACTGTTGGGTCTTTTCAGTTATAATAGCTGAAACCATCCCTGCTTCATTCAGCAAGAAATGAACAAAAAAGCAGATGGAGCACAAGAGGTGATGTCTAGCTAAGGCTCTGCAGAGCAGCACCCAGGTAAGTGCTGGGACGTGAGCCCTGTGTTACCTATCATGCCGGTGACATAGCCAGCCTGCTGCAGCACCTCTGCCAAGGTGCTTTCATTGAGCGGGAGGCCTCCCAGGGAGGTGACCGCGAAGTTGTGCGTGACTCCATTCCGAAGGCCCAGCCGGCCGGTGAGCAGGGATGCCCGGGAGGGTGAGCAGGTGGATGCGGCCGCGTGGAAGTCCACAAACCTGCAAAGCAGGGAGCATGATCAGGCCCCATCCAGCCACAGGACACCAGACCAAGAGAGAAGACAACTGTCACCCAGTTCCTAGGGTTCTAGTGCTGGGAATAAGCTTAAAGATCATCCAGTCATAGAGCAGGTAAAGAAAATGAAGCTCAGAGAGGTAATGCCGAGGGAGATTTAGCTCGGTGGTTCCTCCGCCTGCCTCACAAGTGCAAGGACCTGAGTTCGATTCCTGGTACCAAAAAAAAAAAAAATAGAACAAGAGAGATAATGCCACTAGTCCAAGGTCACACAGCACATGTCCACACTGACCCTCAAAAGAAGTCATTTGTCACCGCTGGGAGAGACCATGACACCAACTCCCATCCCTAACAATTCATAATTAAAAAGAATGGGGCCGGGGATTTAGCTCAGTGGTTTCGCCGCCTGCTGCGCAAGCACAAGGACCAGAGTTCGATCCCCCAGTACCAAAAATAAATAAATAAATAAAAACAGGAAAAAAATCCCATTTAAAAAAAAAAAAAAGGAATGACCCATGGTCGTTGCTAGGTAATGAGGATGCCATCCTTCACTGAAGGACCACAGCTAGCTCGAATACAAGGGATAGCAGCTTCAGGAAATCACCATTTTGCCTCTGATCCCCCATATAATAATTAATGACCAGTGGATGGGGCTGTTCACACAGTCTCACCCTGGGTCATCATAAATTGGATAGAGCTAGCAATTACCACCTTATAAAATGATTAGATTTAGTGTCACTAATAATGAGCCCCTGACCCGTATGTCTCCTGGTGCGATGCAGTATGAAGTTTATCAAATCAAGGATTCTTGCCAAAAACATTTAACCCGAGTCTAATCAAACATCTAGACCTAATTTCCAGGCTACAGGAAATGCAGTTAATGGAAGAACAAATTAAACAACACCACAAGGAAATTATGGAACAAATTGGTACCTAAGCATTTCTGCAAGATACCTGGTCTGGTCTCTTCAAAAAGTCAGTTTCACGGGAAAAAGATGAGACTGGGGGGTTGGGCTGAGTAATATTCTACACTAAAAGAAACCAAAGGGGCAAAGCAAATTCCATGCACAGCGTCTGACTGCATCTCACTTCAAATAAACTAACACATTTGGGAGGTAATAAGGAAGTCTTAATGTCGGCTAAATGCATACAGGGAATTTTTCATATGTTTAGAAAAATAAAGGAATTATAGGCATGTGGAAGAACATTCTTAAGAGATCCACATTGCAATATTTGTAATGAAGGGGTGTGATGTTTGCATTGTTCAAAGGATTCAGAGAAAAAGAACTTATTTATAGGTATATCAAGTATAAGGAAAAGTAGTAGACTATTAACCACAGATGAGTATCTTGGTGTTTATTTTACTATTTTTCTTTCCTTTTTTATTTTATTTTATTTTATTTTTTGTAATACTGGAGATTGAACCCGGGACCTTCACACTGAGCTACATCCTCAGTCCTTTTTTTTTTTTTAATCTTTAGGAAGGGTCTTACAAAGTCACTAAATTGCCTAGGCTCAAACTTGTGATCCTTCTGCCTCAGCCTCCCAGCTTGAAATTTTCAATATTAAAATGTTTTTTAAATTATGGAGCTCTAGAGTCTGGAATGACAAGCGCAGTGACAGAAGTGCTGGGCTCCCGCTGGTCAGGAGCGAGGAGCGGCTGCAAGGGCAGTGAGGCACCTGCACACCTTCCTGTGTCAGACTGCGAGGAGCGAGCGAGACAGGCAGGCTCAGCCTGCATGCAGGGCAGAGGGGAACTGCCATCTGGCAGGACAAGGGACAGCTCCTCTGGGGCCCAGATGTGAGGATGCTTAAGCGCACCCCAGCTGGGCGTGGTGGCACACACCTGTCATCCCAGTCACTCAGGAAGCTGAGGTAGGAGGATCAAAACTTTGAAGTCAACCCAACCTGAGCAACTTAGTGAGACCATTTATTCACACACACACACACACACACACACACACACACACACACACAAACAGGGCCGGGGATTTAGCTCAGCGGCACTGTGCCTGCCTCACAAGCACAAGGTCCTGAGTTTGATCCCCAGTACCAAAAAAAAAAAAACAACTAACCCTCACTGCACTCTGACATCACCTACGCTGCCTCTTTCTGGCCACCATGACCCCTATGATCCTGCACATCCCTAATAGTTTCACACCCCTCAGAGTTGTGCCTTAGACCCGGAGCCCTGCCATTTGCCATGACCTCGACATCTGTAGAGAGGAGGGCAATGAGGTCTGCAGACCAACAGCGTGGGCTCCTTCCTTTGCTCTGCTTTTCTTTTCCTTCTTTTCTTAAAAAAAAGTCCTACACTCAAGCCTAGAGATCATAACACAAAAGCCATTTTTAAAATCTAAAGACCAATTACCATGTGACCCACAAATTCTGCTCCTATGAATTATTTTTTAAAATTCAGCCAGGTTGGGACTACAGCATGCCTATAATCCCAGGACTCTGGAGACTGAAGCAGGAGGATCACCACAAGTTCAAGGCCAGCCTGAGCTACATAGAGAGACCCTGTCTTAAAAAAATAAAATAAAATAAATAAATAAGTAAATAAATAACTCAAATCAGATCTTCTAAAAAATATTAATACAGACATATTCCTAGCAGCACTATGTAGTCATAATAGCCTAAAGGTGAGACTAGCCAAACGTCCATCTGCAGATAAATGGGCATAAACACCCTATGCTATGTCCATACAGTGAAATATTACTTAGGAATGAAAAGGAATAAAGTACTAACAAATACTACTACATGCAGGAACCTTTAAAATGTTATGATAGGGGCTGGGGATGCAGCTCAGTGTTAGAGGCTTTCCCAGCATGCCTGAGGCCATAGTATAATAATAATCCCCAGCACCACAAAAACGAATTGTCCTGGGTAAAAGAGCCAGACATAAAATGCCGTGTATTATATGACTATTTATCTGAAATATCTAGAGTAGGTAAATTCAAGGAGATGGCAGACTAGTGGTTATCAGGAGATGGAGGTTGAGAGAAGAAAAGAGAGGAGTCACTGCTTAAGAGGGATAAGGATGGGCCGGGGATTTAGCTCAGTGGTTTCACTGCCTGCTGCACAAGCGCAAGGAGCCGAGTTCGATCCCCAGTACCAAAAAAAGAGGGGCAAGGTTTTATTTTGGGGTCAGAAAGATGCTTTGAAATTCCACTGAAGTGGTTGTTGTGCAACATTATGAATGTACTGTCACCGAATTGTTAATGGTTTCAGCAGCTTGAAATAGCTGGTTTCATGTTATATAAAGAGCATTTTTACAGACTAAGAGGAAACGTCCAAAGAACTTCTCAGGAAGGACCCAAGGTCCATTAAGCTTGATATCAGGTTTGGATGGAAAAGTCACTTACTGTCAGCCAAGGAAGTGTCTTATCGCTCTCCCTACACTGGGACAAAATACCCCACACCCACAACTTCAAAGAGGAGAGATTTACAGTGGTACCTCGGTTACGAACTTGATTCTTTCCACAATTCTGGTCACAAACCGAATTGGACGAGAACTGAGTCAAATTCAATGGTTAGGTTCAATATGGGGAAATTTGATTCAGTTCCCGAGGACCCCACCTCCTAAAAGCACAGTCAGCCACTGAACTCATCAATGAATCAATCCACTGACGAGCAGAACATGCCCATGATTCAGTCACCTCCCAAACAGTTTGAGGGGACAGCTTAGATCTAAACCCTAACGGAGGGTCACTCCTCATTTCATTCATTTATTCCAAAATATTGATTGAATGTTCACAGAAAGGAGGGGCAGACTGTGCCTTCCTCCCCTGTCTAATTATACATCCTTTGGCACATCCCTGGCAACAATGAACGTTACTTCTTTGCTTTGTCTTTTAGGGCAGATTCAAGTTGGCCCCAAATTCTTTGGCATTGAGAGGTGGGGTTTGTGTCTTCTCCCCCTGAATCTGGGCAGGCTCTATGACTTCTTTGACCAATAGAATAATGCAGAAGTGATACTGTGCCAGTCTCTGGCCTTATGGGACTGGTAGCTTCCCCTTCCTTTCTTGAAAAACTCTGTGAGCCACTATGTAAAAAATAGGGCTACGCTGAGACCACCATGCTGGACAGACCATCTGCAAGTGCTCTGGCCAGCTGAGGCCATCACCATGGAGACAGCAATCACATGATCAAGGCCATCTCAGTCTTCCCAGGCTGACCACCTGCTTACTGAGTTCCACAGTGTGACCCTGATCAATACAACATGGGAAGGAAGAATCGCTCAACCAAGAGGGGTCCTGAATTCCTGATCACAGAACCATAAGTTATAATAAAATGCCTGTTATTGAAAGCTAAATTGCAAGGAGATAGTTTATTATTCTGAGTTACACAACCAGAACAATGTCTGTCTCTCTCACTGGACAATATGTGACTCACTATTAAGGTCCCAGAACATCTCAAAATGAGAAGATGGGTTAATTCTCTGACACCATTTGTCAAGGCGACAAAGAGCAAAGAACGGACATCCTTGGGGAGCTGGGAAATAGCACTGTGAGATCCCAGCCCTGCTCATCTGGAAGCCTGCTCCTGCACTCCTGCAGCCACATACTTGGGAGTATGTGATTCCCCCATCTGTCCAAACACAGAGAAGAGGGCTGCACAAACACACACTGTGGGGTCTGAGTCTCAGGGAGAGTGTGTGCCCACAGCTCTGACTCCTCACCTTGCCCAACTACCTTCCTGTCCCTCTGTCCTTGGGAGCTTGGAGGGAGAACCTGTGGCCTTCTTTTCCTGATCGCCAAGTGCCTGGGGCAACATTCCCAGCCACAGATTTCTTTCAAGACATCCCTAGAGACAGATGCAGTGGGACCTGCAGGGCCCAACCTCCTGGGGAAAAATCCAAGGCCTTGGATGTGGATGATACAGGTTACCAGCAACTGTTACCTCTCCTTAGATTTCCAGCCTGAGTTCCAGCCATAGCTTACACATTTGCTCCCCAAACATTTGCCTCTGCCCAGCTTAGTCT